CTCTCTCTATCTCCCTCTCTCACACACACACACACATGCGCACCATCATCAGCATAATGCAAGCGCTTTTGGACTGTCTCCAAACGGCGTGCATGGCATTGGCTGGGGACGATGGGCGCGGGGGCTGCTGGCCGTCTGGGAGGGAGAGAGGGAGAGAGAGCCCCCTCCTCCCCCTTCCCAAAGGGGAAAGTCGTATAAAAACAAGAAGAAATTATTGAGCATGGAGGTGGAAAAGACCTTAGACGGAGGCATATAAGGTCTAAAGAAAAAGAAAAGGCATACGCTAGGACTACTGCGCTATGACAGCCGAGTCGGCCAAAAGGCAGAGTCGGAGGTAAGGGGCTTCGGCCTCAATAGTTACTTTCAAGGACATTAGATTTGGGCTGCATGCCACGCGCGGTGCCAGTGAGGGGTCAATTGAAGCTCTAATTTTAAAAGTTTTCTGAAGGAAAGATTGATTTTGGTGTTATTTCAAAGTTGTTGTTGCTAGACCCCCGACTACACAATATTCTGAATTAAAATGTAGTGGAACTCTGTCTCTTATTTTATTCGTCAAAAAATAACATCGAGCTCAAACTGTAAGAGATACAGCAAAACAGACAAAATTGTCGTTCAAAGGGCTCGGGCTCGACACCGGCTCGACAAGTTAACCCTCAGGAGACAAGATAATCTATTTTTAAAATCGAAAATTTTGCATACTGTTTATTGTTTTTGTCATTGTTTGTAATTGCAATAGTACGTAACACTTAACCTCCAAAAGAGACTCTAGGGCTGTCAAAAATCGACACCTTTGCACTTCTCTAAAAACTGTTATTCGCCTATGAATAATAGACTACACTAGTCCCGGGCTCCATCGTGCTGCAGCCTGTCCCAGCGCGCTCCAGCCTGCACGCTCCAGCGCCCCCCCCCCCCACCTCTTCCAGCCGCCCACACACGCCTCGCCGATGGCAAAATCCTGCCGTTATCGATCGTCCCTCCCTCTCCAGCGGAGCTTGCTCTGGAGCCTGCTCTGGAGCCTCTAGCCTCAGCCGAGCCTCTGCGAGGGGAGTCGCTTTGTGTACGGCGAGATAGTGGCGTTACTAAGGGTTGGACCGGAGAAGCCCGCTGTACGGCCAAACCCCTGCACAAAACAAGGCCCCTGTAATTTCTGAAGTCAATTTATACTACGTATATACTTCGAAGGAAAGGCGAAAACTTGGGAAGTTTTCCTAGGAGATCAAATTATTTTGCCGTGCCCCTCTGCCCCTTTCAAACTCACGACAACTTATGGTTCTTCGCAAGCCCATCTCGCCCCTCTCGGCTGAACTTCGAATACGCCACTGACCCGTTTTCCCACGTATCGTTCGTGGAATCTTTGGCAAACGCCCCGGCCGGCTCCCTCCCCCCCGAGAGGTTTCTCGCGGCCCACGACAGCAAAGTGCAAAAGTAATCAAAGTGTAGGGCTGTCCCTGGCTGTCCGCGCGCGCCTCGGCCGGGCCGGGCCCAAGGGCCGGGCTGTGCGGCGCTGGCGGGCGCTGGAGGCCCTATGGGCCCTGTGCGCATTACGGACAAGTTCATGGCGACGGTTAAAGTGCCATTAAAAACCCGACTGGCACCGCCGTACCCGCGCGGCCTTCGTGTCCCCGAGGGGAGAGAACCCTCCCTGGGGCAGCTCGGGAGAGCGGCCAGCAGCCTCCCTGGCGCCCTCCTAAGGGCGGGGTGCGGTGCAGAAGAAGAGGAGGCGGCAGCCTAGAGGCCCTTGGAGAGCGCCACTCGAGGGGCGCCTGGCCGGGACCTGCACGGCCTGCACCCGCGTCTCGCCTCTCCAAAAGCCCACTCGGCTGCTGTGCTGCGGGAAGTGCCCGTATTAGTTCTACCAAAATGAGCTCCCGTCCCGGACCCCCCCCCCCCCACTTCCCTCCCGTCCTCTCTTATGCCCCCTCATTCTCATTTGAGGTTCCCCCTGCGCCACCCAGCAGGGCAGTAGATATGCATGCGTCCCTGCGTCCCCACTCGAGCAGAGCCTTCGGAGACTGCGTTCCTCTGAAAATAGAACCGTCAACCCTCAAGGCTCGCCTCTCTCCCCTCCACCCTCTCTCTCTCTCTCACTCTCCCCTGCAACCAACCCGAGAGCAACACCAAGGAGCAAGGAGCTCCGCTTTCTTTCACAAGCCGGAGCAAGAGAGGGATGGGAGAGGGAGAGACATAGGGGGGAGAGAGAAGGGGAGCAGGGAGAGAGAGGGGGGGGGGGGGGGGGTCTGGCAGTCGTCCCGACAGAGGCCATATGTGAGAGAGGTACGTAGTTGAGTAATTGGTGATGGGGCGCTTTTTTCTCCCTGCTCCACCCACCCCCTCGTCCCGAGAGCTTCCTCAGCGGCACATGCAAAGGTTCTCATAACGCACCGGTTTACTTACCCATGGGCATAGTTCCATGTCTAAGCTCGCGGATCGCAGTGCCATCTAGTGCACGGCGACTTATGGCCCCGTGCGAGTATGCAACCCGCCCGCACGCCTGAATCCGGTACAGTATTACCAGAAGGTGGCGCAGCTTTGAACGTCTTCCCGCCGTACGACCCATTAGTTTAGCAGCAGTATTATTTGTGATTTTGCGTTTCGTTTTGCGTATTATCTATAATCCCATGCGCCAGTGTATTTTTTATTGTATTTGTATCAAAGCAGCACTGCGGCCAGCCTGTCGACCAGTTTTTATTTTGAAAGGTGGATTATATGTCATACACATCGCGGTACTAAAACGCAATAACGTCTCTGAGAAGCTATCCGTGAGCCGAACTGTCCTGGGAAGCCAACGATTGCCATCGCCCAAATTTGTCTTCCGAAACTCGTTAACTTTCATCTGGCGTATTTCGAGATGATGCTCTGTAGGGGTTGCGTTTGGTACCGCGGGTGCTTTTGCATAACGGGCACCTTTCTCCCTGACTTATTCTCTGTGAAGGCGTTATATATTGTCACAGCCCAGCCGCCCCCCTCCCCGCTGCTCAGAGTTACATAACGGGGCGGGGCGGGGCGTGGCGGGGCGTGGCGGGGCGTGGCGGGGACGCGCGTAGCAGGGTGCGTTGGTTGAAATATGATAAAAGGACCTCATTAACGGGCAGCCGGAAGTGACGATTGCGTCAACGGGGGGAGCGAAACACGTCGCGAGGCTGCTCGCGGAGGGTGGGAGGGTTGAGGTTGTTTGTGAGAGGCGGGGTGAGGTGCATTCTTCGAGTTATACGCAGGTTTTGTTCTCTGGTGGGGTTGGTAGTAGTAGTACCCGAGACCCGAGCCCAGCGCTGACAACCTCTCTGCGCTTCTGCGTGCTCCACCCACCCCACCCACCTCCACTCCTCTGCCTCGCGGACCACGATAGTAGTGAGACAAACAAGTCGCGAGCGAAAAACACATCGCGTATACGTATCGCCCCCCGCCAAACAAAACTACGCATCGGCCGGCTATTTTTAGTGTTCGCTCGTAACATATACACTCTGCGACATGGAAACCATGGAACAACGCGTCTCTCTCTGACTTTTGCGAAAAACATGGGCAGGTGGGTGCGCGGGGTGTCACGTGGCGTGAGGGGGTTGGGGGGTGGGGGCGGGAGGGGGGCGGTGTCTGGCGGAGAAACCGATCGACACGCGCTAATGTTCGTCTTCCGGTGCCGCCGGGGCCCATAACGCACGCGGCAGAGACAACGGTGGCGTCGGGTCAAACCAAAAAGTTGCGCGTCAAACAGCGGCATTTACGGTCGTGAGGGGTGCAGCGAGCGAGGCGAACGACGAAGGGTGGTGCGCGTGAACGTATGCACGAAATGTTCGGCAAAATCATCATACCACCCCCCCCCCCTCTTTCTCTCATTCTCTCTCTGTCTCTCGCCCTCTCTCTCACTTCTAGTTAGGCTTCGCGTGCGCTAAAGCGCAAAACGCGAAGCTTCTAGCGCCCGGTCCGGTTCTCCTCGACAAGAATTTCACGTTCGCTACCTGCTCCCCAGCATCCACCAGCAAGGAGACCCTCCCGCACAAAAAAAAAGGTGGGGGCGGGGCAGCCGCCCGCTCGACTCGGGGTGTGCGGGGGTATGCATATGTTATTGCCAGTGGACAAAGGCGGAACAATAGAATGGTCTTATCGTTAAATGTTACTCAAATTTTGAACGTAGCAACGAACTACGCAGAATTCTGGACCTGTCAACCTTTCACTCCTCTTTTTAAAAAAAGTCAGATGTTTCCATGACAATTTTTAGTCTCAAAAAATTGTTTTTGGTCCGAGGGCTGAAAAACGGAGACCCTCCCCCTCCCACCTTCAAATTGTCTTACAAGTATCAATGTTTTTTTTTTTAAAGGGGTGACAATGTGAATATTGAATCAGGAATTCATGTACTTTGGTGCGAGGTTGAAAAGTTGTGCCTGATTCTATGGAAATTTTGTGACTCAAAAGCCCTTTGCACATGCTGCAGAGATGCGTAGTTTTGAACATTTCGCCAGATTCGTCTATCTCCCTCAGCGGTTATCGGTCCGCAGCAGCCCACACCAAGCACGCGAAGCCCTTTAGGTCACATTGAACAATGTGGACTTGACGGATTTTATCGACGCCACTGCCGCCGCCGCCAGCAGCAGCAGGCGGCCCGTTTTATGTAGCAATGAAAGTGTGTGTGTGTGAGGGGAGCGCTGCTGAGCGCTGCGCGGCGGGAGTACGAGGACATGCGGGTCATGGGGGTGTAAAGCACGCTCATCTGGTGCAGCATAAAACAACGAGCCTGGCGAGCATGAGCGAGCGTGAGCGAGCGAGAGCCCAGCAAAGGAGTGGAACGGCTCGTCGTGCCATCGGGTTCAGCGTGCTGATATTGGGGAACGACCCCCCATCTCTCTCTCTCTCTCTCTCTCTCTCTCTCTCTCTCTCTCTC